CCCCAAAACCCCAAAACCCCAAAACCCCAAAACCCCTTTTAGGTAAAATATGTATGAAACAATTTGTATTAAAAATAATTAGATTATAAATGGACAGACCATTCTTTTTAAACGGGAGGTTTGAGATCGAACCTTACACAGCAGATACAGCAGATTGATCCTTTTATGAAAAGAAAGAGAGTTTATATGAAAAGAGTCAGCATCTTGGGAAGATGAAGAGGAACGCATTTGATAGTGCTGTCTGTCATTTGCCTGGTAAATTAGAATCTGGGAAAGGGGTTAACCCAGCTTTGAATAATAAATTTAAAAGTCGCCTTGGCATTAAACCACTGAAGTTGAATAATAGCCGATATTCAAATTTTCAAAAGCAAGTATCGAAAAAGCATAGATATGAATACCAAAAAGCTGCATTTAGAATGCCTAGGATTAATCCGAATCGAAACTCTATCAATTTGTCAGCTAAGGAAGCTAACCGAATTCTACAGAGTAGCACGAAGGGATTCTCTACAAGCCGAAACAGGAATTAAAAAATTAAATAAGTCTTGTAATGGGATTCCTAGAAGTAGGGACACTCTTCATCTCCAACATCCAAACTTGAATACTATTTGCAATTCAAATGATGCCTTAGAACTTGATAGTGTTAAAGGCAGTTGTAATCTCTCCGATTGCCAAACCGATCAAGGATGCTCTCATTCTAAACGGGGTGGAAATGACAACCCAGCCAAACTCCGGAAGCAGATCAATAAGCTTAACCAAGTTATTCAAAAGAAGGATGGCCAGATAAATTATTTAAAGAAAACTTCAAAATTTCCAGAAGTCAACGAACTGAGACAAGAAAATCAAACTCTGTATGAGGAATGAACTAGGCTCAGAACTCTCTGAACTCAATATATGAAGAAGGAAATTGATAGTACTGAGTTAGAAGGCGAGGTTAAAAAGGCAGTGGCAGGTACTATTGGAACCTCTACCCTTCAAGACAGAATCAAGGGCAAAATGAGTGCTATTAATGATATCTTAAAATCTAACGAGCTACCACAGAAGCCCATTGAAATCAAGATACCTACTGTTAAGTTCATGGATGACTTTGATAAAGATCAAAAAGATGGTACATTAATTATTTCCAATGGAAATCCAAAATCAGGCGACAAAAGAACTGGCTATAATCCAGTTGGCAAGAAAACATTAAAAACTAACAGAACAGTAAATCTGGAAACAGACCACATTAATCTCAATCTTGATGCATATTCTGAGAAAAGTATTCGGGTAGATCTCTCAGAGTCCTCTAAAAGTATCCAGTTTGGCTTTAAACCTAACGAGGACTGAGAAGACGAGAAAGGTAAGCTATATTATTGGTAACCGATTAGGAAACCCTGAAGTTTCACAGAATGAAATCTCTAATATCTTAGGAGACCTCAGGTTTCTACTGCAGGTATTTGGAGAAAATGCGGCCAAATTCTTGTTCCAAGAGAAGTATCTAGTCTCCTCTGAGGATGCTATTCAAGCATTTCATCAGAGACTGAGGATTTCACTTGAAGAATCCACGAAACTGGCCTTCTACCTCGCTAATTCGGTGCAGAAGGAGAACTGTGATAGCACAAGTTCTGAGACCTTAAATGCAAATGAATTACAGAGAAAGATCGAAGAGATAGTCGGGAGCTACCGTATATACGGTAAAGAGGAAGAGAGAAATTTGATCGATGCCTTCTTCACAGTCGAAAACCGGAAGTACACTCCTAGGTTTTTGAATGAGATGGTCGATCTTTCCTACATTGAGAAAGTTTCTATCAAAGACTTTGAGAATACTCTCTCAAGGATTCCTTTTAACCTAAATATGAAATTTTTATCCATCAGACTTCTTAGGGAGAGCAACTCGTTGCATTTGATTTCAGGGGAATGCATTAAAATCTTTGTAGACTTGATCAAATCGAAAAAGATACCAATTAAAACTCAGATCAGGAGCTACGATGAGTTTGATGAAGATAGTGCCTCCATGTCGACCGATTCAGCAAAGGGAATCCCCAATCTTAATACTGAGGACAAGAACTTTTTTGAAAGATTGGCAGACTTTCTGTTCAAGAAGGAAGTTACCCTGGACCAGGTTATTCGAAAGAAGGTGTATACCAAGATGGTAAACGGTAGAGAGCAAGAGCTGATCAATCCAAGAACCTTCTTCCACCTCCTCGAAAAGAGAGGTTTCACCTGCTCTTTTAATGAGAAGCCTGAGATATGCAGTTTATTGAAGAACCCTCACTTCACAGATGCTCTTGAGGTTGAAAAAATTCTCCAAGCTTTGAAAGAACAGGGAGTTAAGAAGTGAAGAATATTAACTTTAAGCATCAATTAAAGCACTTATTAGCGCTAGATATTAGACAGGTCAATCAGATTCTAGAGTGTATGGCTCATAGGGTACACTATATTCCGAAAGTAGAAATGAGACAGAGCTAGTAATCGCAGATATAAATTCTAGAAGTTAAATGGCTTCACAGAAAATCTTTTACTTAATTTTTGAGATATCAGAAATCTAAAGCTGATAAACCCAGATTTATAAAGCGAGGTTTTTATAATTAGTGGAGAAGGAACCCTCAGTGATAAGAAGCTGGTTGATGGGATAATGATGTCTTGTACACATTTTTGGAAGAATTTGAAAGTTTCAAGAAGAAAACTGCATGAGAAATAGTTTAAAATAAAAACACTATAAGAAAAACAAGCTTAAAAACATCAACTAAAATAAACTTCAAATACCTCAAAACTACGAATCTCTTCGACAGCACATTCCAGAATTCCAAGAGCTACAAAACAACACCAAACTCTTCCTAATTCCTCCCTCTCCAACTTCCAAAACTCCCTGAAAACCACCTCTCCAAATCCACCCAAAACCTCTTAAAATGACTCTCCCACTATAATCCCCCTCACAACCCCTGAAGAGGACCTGCCATGAAAAGACTAGAGACTCTCTAATAATTGATTGTACCTTCTAATAGAGATAAGCGTTAGATTAATATATTAAAATACTCACCCACTTTTGGGGTTTTGGGGTTTTGGGGTTTTGGGGTTTTGGGG